ACAGCGTCTTCAGCCTCCTTCCCAGGACTTCCTGATGAACTCTCATCTAGGGCAGAATGTGTTGATTTTCTAAATCACGTAAATGAATAGCTTGATTGTTGATTATGTAGCATATTGGAGCAAATATTTGCAGAAGTACTTGTGGAGCTCATTCCTGAACATCTGATTCTCCCTAAAATCCTGAAGAACTGCTGTTATCTCAAGCCCTCACAAAAGACATGCTTTGTTGACAATCCTGGCTTAATCTACTCATTTGACATATTTTTTATATAGATGGTTAACCTCAGAGTTAAATTCTGAAATGGCTGGTAGGTATGAAAGTTAGGAAGGGGGTCCAGGCTCTTTTGCTAGACAGAAGTTGGAAGTTAAAAAATACAGAGTTACTGCCTGTCGAGGCCTAGAAAATCAGGGAAAGGATGCTATTTCCCAAAATCTTGAGCTTTCCCCCCCCAGCCCTCTTAAATCATTTCCCACAATGACCAATTCCTCAGTGACCTAAAGGCAGCTCTTCTGACCACTTAAAGGAGGATGCTAATAATTTTTATACCTAAGTAAAGATTGTAAGCTGAAAGAAACCACTTAAAGAATAAGGTACAGATGTGTCACACTTCTGAGTTTAAAGATAAATTAATTAGCTTTGCTTACCACAGGAAAAACTTTCAAGTCTTTCTGAATAACTAATTCAGTAGTGTTTTCTAAGATTTGGGTTATGTTTTTAATAGATTTGGAAGCTAGGATTTACTCATTTAAAAAAATGAAAAGAACCTAGATAGGTTTATTCAAATAGGACCTCACTTCCATTTCTCTGGAAGATACTTATCACTTTCTACAAAAGCAATATGTTCTAAAAATTAAATGTTCAATCTTAGACTTTAGCAGTTCACAGTGTTTCTCTAGAAAATATGATCCAATATTTTTTCCTAAGACAAAAGTTGTGTTACTGGATTTGTAATTGAGAAATGAAGCTTATTGTTTACAACTGGAAGTTTAAAAATTTTTTTCCCCTTTTTACTTTTATTTTTTCCAGGTGCATTTGTTATAGTGTCTGAGATAAATTCAACCCAGGAGGTCAAAATGATTCTCAATTCTTCTGTCGAAGATGGTATTAAAAGAATCCAAGATGACTGTCCCAAAGCTGGAAGGCACAATTACATATTTGTCATGATTCCTACTTTATACAGTATCATCTTTGTGGTGGGAATATTTGGAAACAGCTTGGTGGTGATAGTTATTTACTTTTACATGAAACTGAAGACGGTGGCCAGTGTTTTTCTTTTGAATTTAGCACTGGCTGACATATGCTTTTTACTGACTTTGCCACTCTGGGCTGTCTACACTGCTATGGGATATCGCTGGCCCTTTGGTAATTACCTCTGTAAGATTGCTTCAGCCAGTGTCAGTTTCAACCTCTATGCCAGTGTGTTTCTACTCACGTGTCTCAGCATTGATCGCTACCTGGCTATTGTTCATCCAATGAAGTCCCGCCTTCGACGCACAATGCTTGTAGCCAAAGTCACCTGCATCATTATTTGGCTGCTGGCGGGCTTAGCTAGTTTGCCAGCTATAATCCACCGAAATGTATTTTTCATCGAGAACACCAATATTACGGTTTGTGCTTTCCATTACGAGTCCCAAAATTCAACCCTCCCCATAGGGCTGGGCCTAACCAAAAATATTCTGGGTTTCCTGTTTCCTTTTTTGATCATTCTTACGAGTTATACTCTTATTTGGAAGGCCCTAAAGAAAGCTTATGAAATTCAGAAGAACAAGCCAAGAAATGATGATATTTTTAAGATAATTATGGCAATTGTCCTTTTCTTTTTCTTTTCCTGGGTTCCCCACCAAATATTCACTTTTCTGGATGTGTTGATTCAGCTGGGCATCATACGTGACTGTAAAATTGCAGATATTGTGGACACCGCCATGCCCATCACCATCTGCATAGCTTATTTTAACAATTGCCTGAATCCTCTTTTTTATGGCTTTCTGGGAAAAAAATTTAAAAAATACTTTCTCCAGCTTTTAAAATATATTCCCCCAAAAGCCAAATCCCACTCAGGCCTTTCAACAAAAATGAGCACACTTTCCTACCGCCCCTCAGACAATGTAAACTCATCCACCAGGAAACCTGCGCCATGTTTTGAGGTTGAATGACATGTTTGAAATCTGTCTGTGAAGTCATCTTGTGAAAGAAGGAGCAAGAGAAACATTCCTCCACAGTACTTCGCTACCAAATGAGCATTAGCTGCTTTTCAGAATCAAGAAGAAAGTGGATTACACGGACTGAACCAACTTTTCTAAAGCTCTGAACAAAAGCTTTTCTTTCCCTTTGCAACAAAAGAAAGCAAAGCCACATTTTACATTAGATAGATGATGGCTGCTCTAAGAACAATGTCAGAAACTGGATGAATGTATTGGTTTGGGAAATTTTACTGACAGAAATGCCATCCCCTAGTCTGCTCTTGGCCTGTTATTTTTAATTTCCCCATAAAGGTGTTCAGAATATATTAAGTCTTTAGAGGAGCAAGAGGAGGTCAGAGTTCAAAGTTGTTCTGCAAAATAGTCAAAGGACAGTAAAGCTTTTGTGCCTGTTTAGCTGTAAACAACTGTGGCCCACTTGTACTGGCTACTACTCATTTTATATACAAAGATTTGCCAAGCAGTAGTTGTCAAGTTTCAGAACCTTTTGTGAAATTCAACCAGTGTCTTAGAGATTTACACTGCCAAAACAATGCCAGTAAGAAGGCTTATTTGTATAACGGTGTTACTAAAGTCACATACAAAAGTTAAACTACTTGTAAAGATGTCATTCTGGTCCCAAGTAGTAGTGTCTTCCTAGTCATATTAGTTTGATTTCATATCTGAGAAGTGTATATAGTTTGTGGTAAAAAGATTATATATCATAAAGTATGCCTTACTGTTTTAAAAAAGTATATATTTTACACATATACATGTATATATCTCTAAACTGTTGTTACTTAATTAAAATCTGTCCAAGTTGTAGTTACCTTAAAATAATTTTATTTTAATGTATTCTATCTGCATTACTTAAAATAGATGCTGATTTATTTTTAAAATAAGACAACTGTGAATAAATATTAACATATTTTCATTTAAATTTTGATATAACTGATAGTTTAATATTATTGGTTATAGATTTTATATCTTGCCATTGAAAAGATAAAGAAAAAATATTTTGCTCTATTGCACCACATGGAATAAACACACCGTTTTGAATTTTCCAAACTTTTTCACGTAATGAAGACAAAAAACTAATTCCTTATAACACTAAAATGATACATTATTCTACTCAATTTTTTAATGATAGAATTTTTATGATTATATACATTATCATTATAGGACAGTTAGAAAATATAGAAAAACATAAAAGTCATGTTTAGCTCTTCCACTCGAAAGTCATCATTTTAACATTTGGGTGCATTTTTTTCTACCTTTTTTATTCATTACATACACATACATGTATAAATCATAACACTGAAGTCATAATGTGTATAGTAATTTGTGTACGTATTTTTCACTTAATGGAATAGCATAGTAGTTTCCTACCCTATTAAATATTTTTCTAAAACCTGTTAATATTTGCATAATATTGCAAAATACAAACACAGAAACACACTGTGGTGTAGTTAGCTAGCTAGCAAATTGGAACATTTAGCTCTTTTCTGACTTTTTGGTATGATAAATTACACTGAAGTGAACATTCAAGTACATGAATCTGATAAAGTCCTCACACTCATCGAAGTGCCACAACTGAGTATACAGAGATGAACATTTTTAATATTCTAAATACGTGTTGCCAAATATTTTCGAGAAGACATGTAACAATTTACAATACCATAAACTGTGTACGAATTTATCTCACCGCAGCCTCAGCAGCATGGGGTATCTGCTAAATTTAAACAGAAAGGAGAGATTTACCATGAGAATCCAGGCGCCATACTCAAGGGCAAGGATGCTACCGTGCCTGAAGAACACGCTTTAACATTTCTGTTCCTGCTGAGCAGTTGCCTCATTCTTCAACCTAGAGGCCTTTGCTCCTCCTGAAATCCACACGCAGCGGGCTGAGGTGTTCATTCTGGCCCAGGGAACTGTGGCCAAAGAACTGGGTGATGTATAGAATAATGGAAGGAAGTTGTGGATAAGGGGGTCCTCTTGGTGCACAGTCTCCACAAAGCAGACTATTACATTCACATTCCCAAGGATAGAGTTATTTTATGAATAAGTATGGCTACATATGCCACATACCATTTTCCTTTTATACTATTTTAAATTTCATTAATATAATGCCAGCCACTCACCTCAAAGTTCTTCTGCTATTTTCACAAAGGAACACCTCTAAAAAAATAAATTCTAGCTTATCCCAAATTAGAGTATAAACTTATCCTATTTGAAATCTCTCCTGATCAGCTTTATAACTATTCTTTTTTTTTTCAGTAGTCACTTTAATCTGAGGGACATTAAGCACTTCAAACTTGCTTAACCATTTGATAGGTTATAGTTGATAAGATTTCTGGTAGATAATTGTATTTAGATGTCCTATATCATGTATTTATTAACTAGTGTGAGTAATGTGTTTCATGCCTCATTTTTACTTTAATTTCATCAGATTATATTGTGATTTTTGCCACATATAATTTATGAAAAAGATATCAATAACCTTGATGATGATTCTTGCTTTTTCGGTGAGACTAACTTAATATTGAAGTTAAGATTCTACTTACCAAAATGTTAGGATGGGCTGCCATGATTTATTCTTCATGAATTTATTTAATTTATTTAAAGGTTAGGTAGACTCCTTATTTTTGGAATATTTTAAAAATTTATACAGAAAAGAATATTTACTGTAAAGATCTAGGCGCCTAACAGAACTCAAGAGCTATATGTATTGATATAGATATAGACATAGACAATATTCCAATTTACATTTCAATTCTTATTACCCCATGAGCAAATTCATCTTTTCAGTCAATAATAATTCATTCACGGATTCAATAAATTTTGTATTGCCTGCCTACTCTGTGCCGAGGAACTAGAGTTGTATAACACATAGTTTAGAATGTATGATAAACATTTTTCAGCTGCTGCGGCAGTGTGGAACAGAAGCAACTTGATTGCCAAGCCATGGAAAGACTCACAGAAGTTTGATACCATAGATTTTCAGTTTTGTAACTCTCTGCATTTTTTTTCCAACAGTATGTGCCAAGCTGAGGAGCCAGAGAAGAGAAAATAGATTCAGGCAGTTCCTAAAAGTGGTGAGTGAAGAAAACAAACCCCAGGGAATTTCAGATACTTGGTATGAAGGATAAGATCTCTGAAGGTAAAAAAAGTAAATCAGAAGCAAGTGAGATATAGAAATGCTGAGGCGTGGACAGGAGGCTGGAGGCAGCCATGTACTGCCTCAAAGGCCAGGGTGCAGACCTCACAGGAGAGCTGCACACAGATGTTTAGGGCCCCAGGGCCATGTTGGACCCACTGGACCCAGATCAACCGGAGGAAGAGGGAATCCGAGAGAAAAGCTATAAACAGTAGACAGAATGGATGGGGCAAGATTCAACTCTATAAATTTTATATATTTCAGACTGTATGCTAGGAGAGACAGAGCCCCTGTAAAGCCATAGAGGAGGCCTTGAGGAGAATGAATAATAAATGTAAAGGGAATAAGGAAATGGAAGAGATAAAATTTTGGAGCTAATGATCAGAGTCAGATTTTCCAAATTTTAAATTTTGATTGAGTCAGTTAAAACATGACATCTGTAACTACATCCACTCTTGTCTATTTGTACAGTGGACACACATGGAACCATCTGAACAGTGTCCCTTCTCCCCTTATTGTGGAAATGTTCTGCCTCACCCAAGGACAGGACTGCCTCAGGATGACCCTTTTTCCTACCTAAGCCCATCCCCAGGCCACAGTTAATTGCTCCAGGCTTGAAGTAGACCAATCACAATTTTTCCTAAGGATTTTTCAAACAGGCACTGATGAAGAGTTTGCCTCTCCCCAGTGCTGGAATTTGTGAGATGTAAATTTGGGACCCACCATGCCTCCCATTGTGTGAAGAAAGCTGGTCTGCATGGAGAGTGCAGTTAACAGAAAAGGAAAGAGAGCGTCGCAGATGCTTGAGTCCTTGATTGTACCTGTATCTAATGCCCAGCTGTATCCCTGCCCACCTCATAAGTTTCTAATCAAGGGACCAGAATACAATAATCTATAGCTAAGATCTGCAAGTGTTTCTTCCTGCTTATGACCAATAAGAATTTTCCTTTTGTAGTGACCAGCACATCATCCATTGGCCATCCAGCAGGGGTGATGCCATCCAAGTCCCAAAACTTCTTGGTCCCTCTCTTAGTAAGGGGTCATGTGAACTACCCCTCTTTCATGTGTCTCATGAGAGAATGAGGGCCAGGACATTTGACAGTGTGGGTGTTAAGGGGGAAGCAGTGTGGAGATATGGAAGGACCAGTAGAGAGAGGGGACTAAGGTTACTATAATTTCTACTGTTGTAAGTTATTGTAAACTGAGATCTCCCCTTGGGATGGCACAGTGGTAAAATACTGTTCTGTTGCATGAGAAATTATAATAAATATGATTTGGACCATGAAATTGTAAGCAAAGAGAGGAAATGAGTGCCCTGCACCAGCCGAGGACCCAAAGACATGGCCTGCATAATACCTGGGCCCTCCTTAGTAGACAGTGACCTGGGAGTTCTCTGGGTTTCATGAGCACAGCATCCAACACTGCCCAAACCCAACGGGAAAGGCCTGCATTCACCAAACCAACCCACCCTACTTGAGAAGTGACGTAGCTAAAGTCCAAAAAGATGAATTTCCACAATCAGGAAAAGCCAGAATTAGAAATCTGACTAGTGTTTTTTTTCCAAAAGCTTAAAGTGAAAGAATTTAGCTTTAATAACATTTAACTCTATATCATTTATATACAAGGAAGCTTTGTATAATAATCCTCAAAGAGTTTAAAGACCCTGAGATTTACCCTTCAAGCAGTGGAATAGGAAAATATTTATCTATATGCATAAGAGATGTAAATTTGATGAATAAATGATGTTAATTTTGAAACTATTAAAAGCCAGTTTGCTGTTATGATTACTTTGCTTCAAGTATCCAAATGATGATGAGCCAAAAACGCCCCTGGGCCCAGTTCTTGATTCATTTCATGTCCTATAAAGCTTCTTTTGAAAAACTGAACAAGATAAGAAATAGAGATCCTGGCTGAACCTCCCAGTGAGTTGGGATATATCTCATGAACTTCTTTTCCAAGCCTGATGAAGTTCTGCTATGCCATATGGGCACATACAGTTGCTAAATGATAATTTTCCAAAAATAAGCTTCAATTCTCCAAAATGGCAAATGGAAAGCAGCTGGTGTTAGCCAACAGGGAGAAGCCCTCCTAGAGTTCACCACAGAGAGGAGAGCATCATGTCTGCAGACGCCGGAGCAGATCTGCTGAGAACCAGCCGGCGCTGTGTGACGCAAGAAGCCCCAGGTGCAGATTCGTTCTGACTGGTGGCCTTCTCCTGGCCATTGTTGCTAACATCCAAGCAGTACTGAATGTGCACAATGGAAAGTATATTAGCCAGAGGATAGGCAGGCAATTCTCTAAATAAGCAACTGCTATTCTCATTTATTCACATAGTAAGTGGATAATGGGGGGCAGGGTGGAATACCCTTTTCATTGATGATATCACCTTTATAGCTGTTCCTTGAGCTCCTTTATCTGTTCTACTTTCTTCCAGAGATAGCCCCCTATTTTCATTTGGGTGCCCACTCTTAGTGCAGAATCTGGATAAGCCTCCATCCCCATCATTGCCACCAAATCTGTGGATGATGTGAGAAGATGTACACAAATCAGTCCATCATATTTCTCTGGCTGCACTGAGATTGGCACATAACCTAAATGAACCCAATCATGGTGAATTTCCTAGTTTTTCCAGGAGCTTCCAGACAAAATGCTTGTTCTTTCCTATTGTGTGGGACCAAGCAGATGTGAGGAGATATTGCAGATATTAATATTTGTCACTCCAAAGGGGGAGATGGAGTTTCCAGGAGTTTTCACAGGGAGCATAAGTATACAGCCAACATAGTGAAAGACTGGACAAAGATATGGAGAGGAATCAAGTCTTTAGAACATAGTTTGAGAAGTAACTCTCTGTGTAGGAACTAGTACCACCCTCCAGACTTCTCTTTTTCCTAAAGTAGCCTTCTCTTTTTTATGAAGCCAGTTGAGGATGGCTTTTCTATCAAAGTTATCCACTAAAATCCAATCTTCTGTAAAATCATTATAGCCATCATTCATCAAATTCTTTTTATAGAACAGGAACAGAATTCTCTCCTCACAACAACCAATCATACTATTTCTGTTATTATCCAATGAGTCAAAAAAGAGACCTAGAGATTCTCACATAATCAGTCCAATATAACATGACTGATAAATGCTGGAGTTGAAATTTGAACCTGGGCATTCTAACTCCAGAATCTATGTTTTTATTGGCTGACTATGTTGCTCTTTTCTGCTCTTACCCCCAGCCCCCTAAGTGGTATTACAAATTACGAATTGTGTAGGTACTTTCCAAAATATTGTCCATGCCTATTTATTCAAAATCGAGATGATAATATTTTACTTTGCCTTAAACCCATCTTATTAGATTTCAAGCTAGAATTTCAGTAGTCTTTGTCCTTGAAAATTGGGCTTACTAATGGAAAGCACTAATTGACCTTACACAGCATAGTGCTGGATTTTACATTTATTGTAATTTGATTTTGGATGAGTTTATATTGGGTCTAGCAAATAAACAGGCTACAACTGTTAACTGTCACAGTAATTAGTTAAATGCTCTGGTCCTTTCTGAAGCCAAGAATTTAGATAGCATTTACTAAATGAGAGGGGGAAGGAAATTCCTAAGTTAATTTTCATGTCAAAGTTTTACTTTCTTTACTTTACTAGCCTAAAGGAATGATGTTCTTTTGAAGAAAATATTGTTGTTAAACTACATTATATTCTCTGAAAGATTTTCTTTAAGGTATACAGTTCAGATTTGGCAACAGATTTAGGTGAGGAATAGACCTGGAATAATCAAAACAAAATTGTGATTTATTTCAACTGTGCGTAGAGACCGAGAAGATAAAGGTGACATTACTATGCGTGAGTCCTAAGGACAGTTCTAACAACTACATTGAAAACTAACTCAAAATGGATGCTATTCAAGACAGTGAAAGGTGGGAAGAGAGTTGCAACAGAACAGGCAAAGCATACTCATGCTTCACCTTTTGCTCCTGGCTGTAGAACAGGTAGAAAGGAGCAATTATACATGAAATATTTAAAAACAAGGTGGTTCCATCATGGGCTGAGGAAATGACCATGACAAGAAAGTTCCAGCAGCCAAGTAGCTATGCAGCCTATCATGATAGGAAAGTTGGGCATAAAGGTAGATCAGTGACTCCCAACCAGAGTGATTGTGCCCCCCACGGGATATTTGGCAACATCTGGAAACATTTTTGGTTGTTACAACTTGGGGGAAGGGAGTGCTACTGGCATCTAGTGGGTAGAGGCCAGGGACACTGCTGAACATCCTACAATGCACTGAACAGTCCTAAAAGACTATCTGGTCCAAAATGTCAGTAGTGCCGAGGTTGAGAAGCTGTGTGAATTAGGTACAATACGTTGTGGTAAATAATGAAGTGTTGGTCTCCCAATTTTTATAACCCATAAAATGCATTTTTCCCTTCTCTTTTTTTCTGTGCTCCCATTTACTTTCTCAAATTGTGTTGCATGTAAACTTCACCCAAATAACTTATTTCATGAAAAAATTTTGTCAAAAACAGCATGTCATTTCTGGGGCTATTAGTCTATTAATCTTCTACAAAAAGTGCTATATTTTAAATTCATTTATGAATGCTAGGAACAGAAGCAGCTGGTAGTATGACGTAAAGCTGAAGAGTTACACTCCTGCTTCCATGGGAGACAAAATGAAGGTGTGGGTCCCACTGAGCTGCTAATCCTCATAGAAAACATTAAGTGAAGAAATAAAACATGAGCATGGGGTGCTTCTGGCAGCTCCACCAGGACACTCGACAGTATCCTAGCATTTGATGTGAGTCTGAGGAAAATTTTTATTGAACAAAATCAAAGGTGCATTTTATTTTTACTCTAAATATTTCCATAGAGAATGTGAGCAGCTTCCAATGAAAAGCACATTAAAACAGGTAATACAAAAGAAATCAGACAGAAGAACCACAGAAAGTAAGAAGCAAAACCACTGAGTGTGTGGACAAAAAAGTAGTTGTGACTCAGGAAAATACTGGGTTCTGAGCTTCTTGCAGCTTCTTTCAGGTTGAAAGGCATCACTAAATCTTCAGCTCTTTTTATCAAAGCCAGAGCAGACCAGGTCCCCAAGTGGAGCAGCCTTCTTGATGCTGAATTCCTAAGGGAATTTCCCACATGAGATTATGGGTGGAGACATAGAGTCACATTAGGGATTATTTTTAAGAAACATTTTTTCACTTAGGCCTAATCCTTAGGTGGTTGTTCTTGTAGTGTTATTCTTAAAAGCCAATAGTGCAACATCAATTCCGTGAAGCTTGTTGATGTGAGGGTATTCAGTACTATGGTATGAAAGTCATTCAATGTTGCACTCGACTGGAGCAGTGATATCATTGCGATGGGGACCTCTGAGTCCAATGAAACCCTAGATGACATTGGTTCAGACTTCCTAAAAAAGTCCAAGATCTCCAGAAATTTCTGCAGAAATTTGAGGAGCTTACATTTCCATGTTCTCCTTTAATTCTAGCCATCTGCTTTCCCCAGTTCAGATCATCTCATTGTTCCACACAGGCTGTAAGATGCCCCTATTCCATGTGATACAGGCATGAAACAGCTCCAGTTACACACACACACACACACACACACGGAAAGCACACTGACATGCTATGTCATGGATGCAAAAAGTCCTCTGTACCCTGGAACATTTCTCCCCTGGACTCCATGCAGTCCCAAATTTCACTCCTCTCACACATCATCCCCTTCTTTCTCTGCACCTTTTCCTTTTTTATCATCACCTCCCTCGAGGCAGCAAACCCAGTTTCTATTTCCACACAAAGCAGCCTAGACATTCATTTCATTAGCCACCCTCTACTGAATGTCAACCATGCCATGCCTTCCCTCCCACAGAGATTCATTTTCTCCCCAAGTGGACTGTCAGGATATGTCCTTAGAAAAATTCCTTAAGAGAAATTCCAGCCCACAATACCAAAATAATGAACTGTTCATCTCAACATTGACAGTCTAGTGGTTCTCAAATAGTGGTACCCAGCCCTAAAGGTGGGAAACAGAAAAATTCCTCATCAAATGGAATATCTTTATAATTTGATTTACTCAGAATCCATGCTCCAACTATCTCCTGTTTTTCTGCCAGCCTGATTTGTCACTTCCTGCTGTTTCTACTTGCCAAGGGCTATCCAATGCTTTGCATAAGGCAGGGCCCCTGGGCTCTGCTCAGAGTGGGTGTGAGCACCCACTCCTCAGGGAACACTCCCAGGGTCCATCCAATGGATGTTTATGTTAAACCATCTCAACATTTTTCTCTTTATATTCATTTAACACAGTATTGGGCTCAGTTTTTATGAAGTTCTCATATTCCATAGTTATTGCAAAATGTAAAACAATGTCATCTTTATTTTAAAATTTAAATCATTATGTAGCTAATACATGGAACTATACATTCTAAGTAAGCATTTTCTCCATTTACCACATGCAAGCACAAAAATTATGAATGTTATTTCAATATAAGCTCACATTTTAAAAAATACTGATGGCAAGGGACTAATTTTACAGAAGTTAAAGCTTAACTTTTGTTCCCTTGGACTATATGTTCCTTTCACAACCTTCTGATACTTAAGGGCCATATCCAGACCTTGTTAGGAGCAATAATATCAAGGATGCAGCTTCCACTCTATGCCTTAATTAGTTTTTTTGATTCAAGAATACCAATACAAAAGAGGAAAACACAAAAGCTTTCATAAAGGAGTATATGTTTTTCTGATGTCAAATTGCATTCTGTCATTCTAAGAGCCCAGAACCAATTTTTAAATAAGAGAGCCGAGCATTGCTCCTTCTTATTTTCCCTCTCCACATTCAATGCCTAAAAAGAAGTTATGACTCCAAATTAAACTTGAGGCCATTCTCTGAATACTTTTTCTAGAAAGTCCTTTTCATTTTATTATGTAAGATATAAGCCAAGAGGTTCTACTTTAAGAAAACAGATCTAGAATTTTTTTTTGTTTTGCCTGAGCTCAGCACCATGATTTGGTGGCTATATTGAAAAGGATTCCAGAACATTGCTGCAAGCAAATGGGTGGAGACATAGAGTCACATTAGGGATTATGTTTAAGATTATGTTATTTTTCACTTAGACCTAATCCTTAGGTGGTTGTTCTTGCAGTGTTATTCTTAAAAGCCAAGAGTGCAACATCAATTCCGTGAAGCTTGTTGATGTGAGGGTATTCAGTACTATGGTATGAAAGTCATTCAATGGCACACTTGACAGGAGCAGTGCACTCCTATGCACATGTGGAGCTAATTCCAAACACTATCCAGAGAAAAACAGCACGTTAACAGAGTTATGTAAATAACTAACACCACCTGGGGGCTCTCGCCACTTTCATTAGATCCAGGTAAAATTGCTGTGATGACATCTGGTCAACTCTAAAATCTATGAAATGCTGGGTCTTTTCCTCCAGGTCTCTGCAAATCCTGAGGGGACCTGCAGGTCTCACAGATTGGGTTCCGCTTAAAGAAGACTGTGAGATAACGGTTTGTGCAGGATTTGAGGAGTGCTCCCAGGATCAACATCTGTGAGGAAATAAAGGGAGCAAGACTGGGAAGAGGATGAAGTCGGGCTGCAAGGATACAATCTCATGCAGGTATCAGACAATCCCACAGGGAGTTCTGGAGCTGGAATGACCACAGTTACACCAAATTTGGGTGTAACCTTTATATCTTTGTGCCTTATAGGCCTGAACTTTAACCTCCCACATTGACCAGTCTTTGGAGGTAGTCTGCCCTCCGAGAGTGACACCTAGATGGCTTTCTCCAGCAGAGGGCCATTGTCCAGAGGAAGAAACTCAGCTCTCAGCTGCAGCCCAGCAACCCTCTCAGCCCCTGGGGGACTAGTGCCTCAGACCTGAAGAAAGGATGGGGCAGAGCCCTGTGGTGTTCACCCCACAGGCTGACTGGGTGCTTAGCTCCTCCAGCCCCTCCCTCTCCCCTTCTCCTTCCTCCTTTTCCTCCTTCTCCTTCGTGGGCTCCTCCTTTAGCACAAATTGTTTCCATTCTACACCACATTGCCCCAGAGCAAAACACAGCCTTTTCTTCACTATCCAGAAGACATCCTATGACACCAAGCGCTTTTTGTGTTTCATTCAATCTGCTCAAGAGGAGAGGAATACACACCACATCCTGGAGTGTAGGGCACTCTCTCGAATTCCTGCCTTCATACTCTTCCCCTTCTCCTCTAGCCTGTGAAAGCATCCACCTTGTATAGAAAGCAGTTGAAATTAAAAGCAATGGAGTAATTCTCTTGTTTCCTGTGGATTCAAGAAAACAATGAGATGGGAGAATTCACATTATCATAATCCAACTATTTTGAATCCCCAAGCAATTCCTTTTTCCTTTTCTGCAAAATTGTCATCATAAAAACATAAACACACAACCAATATTGTTTAATGACCAATTATGAAGCTATCCTGACCTAAATACATACACAGATTACTCGCTTTGACTTTCTATATACGGACCTGAACAAAAGGAAACTCCTTCTGTCTGTCTTCTATATTGATGCAACTGGCTCTCTTAAAACTCTCCCAGGCCCAGTAGGCTCATATTCCTAATTGCCTACTGGGTGGACATCTTGATCTGGAGGTGCAAAAGTCAACTCGCGCTCAAATTATCCGAAGCCAGGCTTCAAAAATAGGCAGTAAGATGTAGCTTCATCCCACCCACACTACTGGCACTGGACACTGAGTTCTTGCCCCACTTCCACTGGTGAACCTAGAGACTGGGGGGTCAGGAGGCTGGTGACAGCCCGAGAAAGAATTTTCCCCAAAACCTGCTGGCTTGTGTGCAGCATCAATTCCATGTTCAGTTGCTGGGCAGCCAAAAAATAACAAATGAGCTCTCCAAAAAACATTCGTTACTAAGAAGGAAAGGACAATAAAAACGTGATAATGAACAGAGCCCATTCTGGACACAACTGGATAGTCACTGCAGTTGCTGTCAGTGTCTGTCCTCTGTCTGTCACTACACACGAGGCTGCTGGCTTTCCTTCCTATGGCCCATGTCCCCACATCACCAACTCTTTTCACCAGCCCAAAAGGCAACTTTTGGCTAATCTATTATTTACTGTATAACTTACTTTCATAAATCTTTCCCCCCACCACCTCTTATCAAGTCAGATTTTAGTTAAGTCAGAAGTCTCTAATAAAGTTTCACATGTTATAAATTTTAGGAAAGGAAAATTCACTGGATAAGGTCTTCTACAACTCCCTTATTCTACAGACGTCAAGGCCCCAGAAGATGAACCCAGCCATCGCATAAGATTTTCTACTTTAACACAGAACAAGGCCTTACATGCAATGGAACATCAGAAGTGGAACTCCAACTCTTAAATATCAGACAGAGGGAAGAGAACTTTGGAACAGAAGATGTTTCTAGGGCTCTTAAAATCACCATAGGTCAGCCCCGAGAATAGGAAAAGGCAATGAAAGGAAATGACAAATCACTCCCCAGGGAACCTGGGAAAGGGGAGAAAGGGAAGGTAGGTTTGCAGGTAATTAGGGAAGAGAAGCCTAGCCTTTCAAGCAGAAGCTGCTCTAATGAGCCATCCCCAGCTCTGCAGCTTGTCCTCTTCAGTTCTTCACAATGACAACTTCTACATGTCTCCAGGGGTCACACCTCCAGCTTGAGAGACACTGACCAAAGCAAAGGACCTGTGGCAGGGAGGAAACCAGCCCTGATTTAGAGCTGTGCTTCTAGACTTTAAACTTTAAAAGCATTCAATACACTTCACCTGGGAATTCTGATGTAGTAGGTCTAGGATGGGGCCTGAGAGTCTGTATTTCTTACAAGCTCCCAGGGAATTCTCTTGACACTGCTCTGTGGGTCACATTTTGAGTAGTTAGGACCTAGTACATGAGGACAGAGTTCAGCTGGAGTTTGAACTCAAGTCTCCCATTTCCTAGGCAAGTAAGCCACATGCTCTCACCTAAGGCACATTTCCTACATGTGAGAGTTGTATTAAAATAAAACTTAGGGAGCTTCTAATCAAAACATGACGTTTGTTATTTTTGGCACAGGGACTACTTTTGAAATATCAGTAGTCTGCTAAAGAACAGTAACAGAAATTCAAAACACCAAAAGCATTCAAACAAGAAAGCACTTCCAAACCACAAACCAAGGTTACTATGGCTATTTCAACATTGGTTCTAGGGTTCCTCTAATACCATTCTGAGTCATCAAACATCTCTGAAATGTCTATGACTCTGTTTTTGCCAGTTAATTTGGTATTGTTTTGAGGAAGGTGTTGCAATTTCTTGCACGTTAAATGAGAATGCTCAGACTTCATGCAGATTATAAGACTTGGTCTGCACAGCAACCCACAATCTCAGGCAGACTATTTCAAGATGGAGCGAGACGGCCATTATATCTCTTTCAGGGTTTTATCTTCTGTCACATGCATATGGATGCAAAGCAAGCAGGCAGCAATGCCACACTTCCCTGGTCATTGAATACCCTGCAGTGTACTTCTTAATTAAAACCAGCATCACAAATATGATTGCTTAAGTGCCGAAAACCTAGCCCGCTTAATGGCCAATCAGAGAACTACGTGATCATTAAATCCATTTGGAACCACTTTTTTTTTTTTTCCTGAGGTGAATACAGTTAGGCTCTAAATATTCTTATTGTTTCCCATAAAGTGTTTTTTTTTTAATACTGCTTGCTTTTTCAGCATCACAACTTCCATTTCACTTTTGTCATCAGAAATTAACCCTATGTTATAATAGTTTATTATGATTTGTTTTAATCTGGAATTTGTAGCAACACTGGGGATTAAAGAATAATTTGAATGAACGACACATACAGTGTTGCCTAGTAACACAGACTGATCTGTACAAAGCCATAAATTGCAAAATTTCATAGCAGCATAAAAACTTTTACTGGCACTTAAGCATATTTTTCCCTGATTGAAGCAGAATTCATGCAACAATTACAACCACATGACAAAAGCTGGTAATGATTAGCCTTCAAGAGCTGCTGTTATTTCTGACAGTTCCAAAGCTGTTTTTGTTTGTTTCAGGAAAGAAAGCATCAAATCCTTTATGGACTAGCCTCACTGAAAAGGCGGAATTGAGCCTGTTAATTAGCCAGTGCCAGCATTTTAACTACAGCTCCCAATGAAGAATGGAAGAGTTATGTAATAATTTACAATTCTAATTAATTTGCGTCAACCAAAACCAGCTCTAAGTGCACTAATACACACTTTAGAGGACAGCCCTCCTATTATGTAACATAAAGGTGGAAACACATAAGAAACACAAACGTGCCTGCAACTATTATCCAAGAAAGAACTTCATGAAGATGAAAGATGAAAGCCAGGAAGGTTATTTTCATTTGCTACAACAAATACCTTAAGGAGATATCTTAAGATATCCTCAATATCTACAGTTATTGAAGTAAAAGTTACAAAACACAGTTGTTAAAGAGTCCAAGGGGAAATTATATTCACATTAATTCAAGATCGCTTGTTTAGTAATATCTTATAGCCAGCCCAAAGAAAATATGAGTTTGTGGAAATAATAATTTATCACACCCTCATACACACACACACACACACACACACACACACATAACACACACACAGAGATAAATTGAATGAGTGTTTCACTGAGGGGAAACTGGGTAATTTTCTCTGACAACATATGTTTCTATGGGTACATTCACCAATGTGAAGGGATTTATACTATAGCTCAAGGAAATTGAGGAACAAATGTTTTGATCCTTTCATAAACTTTTCATTCTTCTAGCTCTGGCTTGAATAAAAAATGCTTGTAAAAATGTAATAGGTAATGCAGGCACAAAAGAATACATTGTGAAATACATAGGAAGACTTGTATATTCAGGCTTAATCTTTCAATCAATTTTGTGCTTGAGCTTCCTGGTGTACATTTCGATAAATCCTAATTTACTTTTATTCTAGACTCATAATGTCAAACTTCTCGTTTTATTTCTCAAAATCCCCCAGCTCTAACATAGCTACAGCAAGATACTTGGAACAATCCAGATGCTACCAGAGGAAAACAGAGGTGGATATCCAAAAATAAAATAAAAACATATAAGGAAATTCACCTAATCCAAAAATCCCAGGTCTAGGAAATACCATCCACATACCACACAAATGAAACTTGGAGTGCATGTAAATGGTCCAAAAGTATGATGAGCCCACAATTCAGCGACAGTGGGGCCAAGAGAAAGTTGCTTAACTTCCCTAAGTCCCAATTTCCTCCTCTGTACACATACAAACCTCCGCACGTTTTGCTGTTTGCCTCTCTTATGGAGTGAGCTTTTATGATTATCAGTATCAATTATAAAAACTGAAAATAACAAGTCTGAAAAACTTATTTAAAAAGTGGCAGTACATTGCCTTGATTATGTATAGACTTAGAGTAGCAACTTAGTCACTAATTTCTGATTAAATTTTAAGGCTGATCAACTTAGATATTTTGAAAATAAGTTGACATTTGTCAAATAAATCCTAATGATAAGTGAAGCATGTTTTTCTACACTGTTAGAAAGCAATAGAAACATCAAATTCTTGAATAATCATTAAATGAATTAGGTGGATTATGAATATTTTGTGTTTCATTAAAACTAATTCATTCTGCAAAGAGGCTACAGAACATGGACTCAATACTCTACTGAAGATAAGAGAAGTATAATAATAGTAATGGAAATTCTGAGCATCTTTCTACAAGTAGCCCTCCCAAAAAGCAGATAGACTTATCAAATTGCTGCTCATTTGTTGCTAGTGAGAATTTTTAAAAATATGATCATCTGAAATATACTTTCTAAAACATATTACTTGAAACTTCCAGACTTCTTAGAGATGAATGTTGTATAATCTTCAATAAAGTAGAAATTCTAAACTACATGGTTATCAGAGTCACATGGAAATTATGCAGTCTACTAAGCTAACCAGCTAACTGAAATGCTTTAGACACATCATTACGCAAATGTAATGCACTTTTATTAAAAGTCTCTGGCCAAAATTAAAAGGTTAGAAAATGTTGTAAATCTGTCTTTAAAAAAAATTATTCTATTCCTCAACCTTATAACTTATGGAGAAGGTCTATGTAGCCACAATTGGGGGGGTTCTATTCTTAACCAACTAAAGGGCAAGTTACAAATTAATTTTTTGTCTTATCTACAATGTTATTTCATTTCCAAATGAATAGAGTAATTATGACTTTTATTATGTTTTAAAACAGTTTTAAATATCCTTAGCATTCTGTTTGAGGCTTTTCCCATTTATGTTAATAATGTTGGATACACAAATTGCCAGATGTAAGAGATCTGAAGGTTTGAAGAGGACTAGCTTTCTTAAATGTGTACTTTAATCAGCAGATTGTTCATATAATGTACTTTTCTAAGAGGAATGAATTAGAAATGTTCTATCTTTTAAACAAGGTGCAACAGACAGTATCATCATCACCTGTTACTCTAGGAATTGTAATGGGAGAACTAATAAAAGGTAACTTAGTGAAGATGGAAGAAAATCGAGCATGAGTTTGTTTGATTTTTCCTTCTCCTAGAAATAGTGGCTTTCTGAAAACCTCACAGAAGACTGGAAAGTGGTTTTCAGCTTGGAGACATAGAAAGTAAAATAGGTCAAAGTCCACTGCATCTATTTTCAATTATTGAGACATGCAGTTCTCAGGCAGCCAGAGCCAGCTAGAATTGTCTGAGACCTGAGGATCATAATGAAAATATCTTATAGTAAAATGTATTCCCCACAGGTTTAAACGCAAAATGAGAACCCAACTTTTTATTACTCGTTAAATGAAATGTGCAGTCTTTTTCCCCTTTTAAGGTCAAGTATGCAGTATTTTGGAAAACAAACCATAAAAACATGATTAGAGAGAACAGAGGAAGTCATTATTTTCTCCAGTCATAAAGAATGTAGCATCATTCTATCAATCTAATGTATCTTTGTAACAGCAGTGGCAGCATGTGGCAGTGCTTAAATTGCAAATACAGTATTTAAGAAAAAGCATGGATTAAAAGAGCACTGAGATGAGCTGGAAAATATCCACATGGATTAGATTATTTTTATAAATTCCATTTTCTTCCCAAAGACCCATTTAACATTATATATTGCCATATTATCTATCTACGCAGAAATAATATACTCATCAGGCCAAACATTATAGAGTAAATCCAAGGGTATGCAGTTAATGGCTAATGGGGATAGAGTCTATGTTGTGATATAAGGGAGAAAACTAAAATATCTGTGAAATTAGTGTGGAAATATTGAACCTGAATCAATAATTGTATATAACATCCCTTAGTTTCTTTTGCCTTCTTGGAAAGATTTACAGCTCAAAAATTAAGCATGGCATGATGTGTTTTCTCAATGTTAACATCAGGACAGATTTCATGCAAAAGCTTATCACAAAGACAAATATTTCAGAATGTGTGGCTTTTGCAAAGCACGACTTCATTGTTGAAGTAATTCCAATGCAATGTCAGTTTTTCAACAACAGTTGCTAGTTATCTGTCATATTTACAACAGTTATACTTTCGATATACTCTGCTAGAGGCAACAGGATCAACTTGGAATCATTTTGAAAAACATGTTTAGGAAAGTAAAGGAAATGACCTGTAACATGATAAATGACACTATATTGTACATGAGATTCTTACCAACCCAGCTTTCTCAAGTCAGGTTATCTAGGATGGGATGAATTTTTAAACCAACATTCAGGCTCAGGATTTCATGTTTCAGGGCTTAGCAAGGGGTTCCATTTCCAATCTGTCTTCTTTTAAATGCTGTATGGCATTTTCTGCAGAAGTTGCTTCTCAACAAAATAAAAGAACAAGAAGGTAAATCCTACTGAGAGCTTTATTGTCTACAATGCAATATGAGCAAAATCTAAGCAGAATAAATCACATCCTGAGTGAGCAAGAGCATAAGACAACTTGGAGATTTTGCCAAATCCATAGGGAGGACTTTTGGTTTGGTTGGCGGAATGGTTTATTTTAAGCATTTTTGTTTTGCTTTTTGTTTTTTTTTAATAGAAAG